TTCCCCCTTTAACTAATGCTACTTCAACAATCTTAACTAATCGACGAACAACTACACTAATGTAAACTGATAACTTCTCCGTCCTCATATTTCCAAATTCAAACACAACCTCTTTCAGTCTCATCACTACTCTTTACATCACGTGAAAGAAACCACTAAAATATTCATGCTAACAAGCAACTAGTCACATGAACCATGCATCATCCATCGTCATTAATGCATCATCCATCGTCAGCCAAATGTATTTTGATTCCAAATGGATCAATAAATTCTTCAATTTGATTTCAAATGTTCACTTTAAAACGAATCATTTAAAGATCAAAAATGAGAATCACGCGTAATCAGGGAAGATTGTAATGTAATTGCGATAAATGCTCACAATGAAACAGCAGCCATAAATGCATGCAAGAAATAAAAAATAATAAGAAATAAAAACATTTCACATGTAAAAATGTGAATACGAAAAAACGCAATCAAAAAAATGTCACACACATTGCGTGAATGCATATTCAAAACACTACTTACTATTAAGAGTCACCACGATCATCTGCAATCAGCAATCCCTTTCGATGCTACGATAAACTATTCGCGATATTTTGTCTTTCTCTTAGTTTCGTTTCAACTAATTTTAGTTTTGTCGTATCATCTGCAAAAAGCAAATTATTTTTCATCCACAACGCAAATCTTACCGTTCATATTAGGCGGCGACAGTGTTATCTAACGATAAAACTGACAGAATTTCAATCTTCTCCCCAATAAACTTACAAAAATTCAACCAAATCATCAACTTCTCAAATCCACTCAACTTTCATCTTTTATTCTCCAAATTCCTCTGGAGGTTCTTTGACTGAATGATTCAACGTTAAACCAAATGTATGCTTTTAAAAGTGAAATAAAAACTCACTCATATAATTACTATGTGAAGAATTTTTTTTTAAGTCAACAAAATTACCTTCTATTTGAGCCACTGCATTTCGATACTCGGTCAATAAATTTTCCTCTTTACTGGTCGATTTCTTTAAGAGTTCAATCTCGTCCCTCTTCACCGCTATCTCTTCGTTCACAGTTGCCAACTCCTCTTCACGATGTGCTATGCCTTCAAAAAGAAGAAAATAACATTGAGACCAAAATGAAAATTTATGAGTCAAAACAAAGTGCAGCCGTGTGAGTTGTGAAGATCAGAAATTATGCGATGAAAACAGATGAAGGAACATTCTGAATAACGTTACATTTACGGAATGAAATGAGTGAAACCCAAGTGCACACTCAAATTGAAACGATCAAACGAATTCATCAAACAAACTAACGTTTTTGATAAGCTTGAATGTTCTCTTTCGTTGAAGATATCAGCGCCTCTTGTGCTCTCTGCTGGGCTGAAATTCATTACTTCGTCATTATATTCACATTTTTCTTTCACTATATTCATGAGTGTGAATATTCAAAACGCAGAATTTACCTCTTATCGACTCACTCTCCGCACTCAACTTCTGCACGCAATCGCTCACTTTCTCGTTGATTCGTTTCCGTTTCCGTTCCAACTCTTCGTAACGTTCCTTAAAAACACTTTCAACAATCATACTTTAAAGGATCACAACTCGAAGTCTACGATACGAACTGCTCAACAAAAAAAATAGACAGATACACATTAAAATTTGATGAAGTCACTAGGTGACAACCAAGTAGACTGATTTCAAAATTATTGCATTATTCAGAGAAAACTACAAATATCAAGCTGATCTTAAGGCACCTCGTTCGGTTTCTCCGACTAGCTTCAGAACTAATTTCGAGCCTCAAAAATGGAGAATATAAGAAACAGAATTAGATCTGCATATTGAATTACCGCGGATTCCTCATCAGTCGGGAACGTACTGAGCATGTAGCGTGCCTCGTCGAACACATCCACCACGTCTCTGCTCAGGCTGGTTTCCATTTAGCATCAGCCGCAAAAACTGAAGCAAAACACA